GGTTTTGTTTGCTTTCCCCCTATTCCCGCTTTCTGGACGTGACCGTTGTTCTGCACTCGCTCTAGATGCCCCCGAAGAGAGATGAGGCCGCGCTGCAGGAGGAGGAGGAGCTGCAGCTGGCCATTGCCCTCTCCCAAAGTGAGGCTGAGGAGAAAGAGCGGATGGTAGGCCCCCCTGCTGATATTTTGAATTGTTTGCACAGCCCGATTATTTAGACAAAACGACAACATTACCTGTTTTTATACCCACAGAGGCACAAAAACTCATATGCCATGTATCCCAAAACTGATCCCACCCCAGTGACTTCCTCTGCACCACCAGTCAGCACCCTTTACACTCCCCCTGTGGTAAGACATCCTTTCATGTTTAAAGGTCAGCTATAAAAATGATTAAACATTGCATTTTGTACAACCTACTTTTCTTTTCTTTTCCAGAACTCTTCTGCCCCATCAGCTGAAGATGTAGACCCTGAGGTACATTTGGGATCCTTCTCTTCTTGAATTCCTTGATCAAGATAGAATAAAGCAAATCTTACATCCTGCTGTTACTAAACGTCATTTGTCACACTGTTCCAGCTGGCACGGTACCTGAACAGAACGTACTGGGAGAAGAAACAGGAAGAGGCTCGTAAGAGTCCAACCCCCTCAGCCCCTGCCCCCGTGCCATTGGCTGAGCCCCTTCCTCCAATCAGCCAGCCTGCAGAGAGCCATGTCCCTGTTCAGCCAGTCAACATAGTGGAGGTATGTTGAAAAAGTGTGGTAGTGTATCTTACAGGCCTTCTCCTTAGATATAAATGGTCCGATTTGTTATCTGCAGAGGTCTTCTACTCCCCAAAACAAACAAACTGGTTCAAATACCATTTTAAAAACTTGAAGATTTTTCATGTCAAAAATGAGTCTCTCTCAGGCTTTTCTTCTGTGGACACAGCATGTCCTGAGGGCCTGCGAGCATAGCTGCTGCCGCCTTTTTGAAGATAATTAGTCTGTCTTAAGGTTTGTGTTTCTTGATTGTTCATCCATCACAGCTTATTAGAAATAGCAGTTATAGTTTTTTTTTTTGCTCTTCTGCAGGGTTTTGGGGTCTGCCAGTTTAGCGGTCGCTTACTTAGCTAACTAAATTGCTACTTTGGGTCAGATGATATAGTGACAAAAGACGTTAATATGTCAGGAAGATTGCTTGCAGTTATAGAAAATAATTCTAAAGGTGTGTCTTCTTATGAAAGCTTCTATAGTATAGTAGTTATAAAATTTTGTATTGAAATTTGTATTATAAATTGGGTAAGTCCTGTTTGTTTTTTTTATGTCAGGGTGAGGTCAGACAACAAATAACTTTCCACCTTTGCTTCCCTCTCGTTTCCCCCCTTCAGCAGCAGTACCAGAACGGGGAGTCAGAGGAGAACCACGAGCAGTTTCTGAAGGCTCTGCAGAATGCTGTCACCACCTTCCTGAACCGCATGAAGAGCAACCACATGCGTGGGCGCAGCATCACCAACGACAGTGCTGTGCTCTCACTCTTCCAGTCCATCAACAACATGCATCCACAGCTGTTGGACATCCTCAACCAGCTAGATGAGAAACGATGTGAGTGTTAGCCTTTAATTCGTTTTTTTTTGCTTATCCATGCCTGCCTTTCATCTTGACTTATAATTCTTTACACCATCACATCGTTTATGTTTGTGGCAGTGTACTACGAGGGGCTGCAGGACAAGCTCGCCCAGGTGCGGGATGCTCGCGCTGCTCTTAACGCCCTTCGGGATGAGCATAGAGAGAAGCTGCGTCGTGCTGCGGAGGAAGCAGAGAGACAGAGGCACATCCAGCTGGCACAGAAACTGGGGATCATGAGGCAGAAGAAACAGGTAACAACAAGAGGCTCTGTGCTTATAATCCAGATGTTTATACATTATTTTTTACCATGCTAACAAGTGTTTGTCTTGAAACTATAGGAATACTTGGAAATGCAAAGACAACTGGCCATCCAGCGCCTCCAGGAGCAGGAGAAGGAGAGGCAGATGCGTCTCGAGCAGCAGAAGCACACAATCCAGATGAGAGCTCAATTGCCTGCTTTCTCCCTACCTTATGCTCAGGTACACACTACATACTTCTATGTCAGCTGTCCACAAGACTGATTCTATAAGGATGTAGCCATGTCTAAAGGTTTATAAGAAAATAGTGATTCAGACAATGAATCCAACTCCTCATAACAGGACTATAACTCTGTTCACACAGATGCAGTCTTTGCCCCCAAATGTGGCTGGAGGGGTGGTGTACCAGCCTGGTGCTCCACCCAGCTACCCAGGCACCTTTAGTCCAGCTGGGTCTGTGGAGGGTTCACCTATGCACAACATCTATATGAACCAGCAGGGTCAGACTGCACCACCACAGTACCAGGCCATGCCTCCCACAGGTGAGGAGCGCAACAACAAAAAATTATGAACTTTGAAAAAACTGTTTTAAATACCCTTTGATGTCTTTGGAGTCACATAGTTACTATGTTGAATTGTTATTCTGCATTTCATAAAGTCATGTAACAATTTACACAATAATTCAATAATTCTATTGAAGTATGTGCGTGACTGATGGTCTTTCCATCCTCCAGATCCCAATATGGTCAATGCGTACATGTACCAGCCTGCAGGCACCAATGGGCAGCCCGCTCCTCCTCCTGGTCAGGCCCCGCCTAATACCAGTCCACCTTACTCCAATTATCAGCCCACACCCACACAAGGCTACCAGGTTCGGTCTGAATTCGAATTTTCTCACCAGCTATCACCACAATTTCTTAAGGATGCTAATAAACATTCTAACTGTCTCCACTTTTTGTGCAGAACGCGGTCTCTCAGGCTCAGAGTATGCCCCCCATGACCCAGGCTGCCCCCACTAACGGAATGGGCTACATGGGCTACCAGCCGTACACCATGCAGAACATGATCTCAGCATTGCCGGGTCAGGATCCCAATATGCCTCCCCAACAGCCATACATGCCAGGCCAGCAGCCCATGTACCAACAGGTCAGTCAAAACCTTTCACAGCACTCTGATGATCTTTAAACCAAAGTGACGCCTTAAACATTTCTCTGTAGGGAGATATTCCATTGCCCATTTCTAAGATGGATATAGTTGCACCCAGGTTATTTGAATCCACACAAATCTTCCTGTTTAACTTTTTTCCTTTTATTTGCCAGATGGCTCCCCCTGGTGGTCCACAGCCGCAGCAGCAACAGCAGCAAGCGCCTCAGGCTGTGCCGGGCAGTGCAGAGGCACAGCTCATCTCCTTCGACTGAGAGCCCACACGCTGCGGGTTCTGACACTATACCCTTTCTCCTCCTTTGGTCTTTCCCCCTCACCCTCTGGACTTTGACGATGCCCTCTGAAAACAAACACACACCTAAACACACACACACAGACACACACCTGCACCTTCCACCTGACTGTGATGTTGTGACAATGTAATTATTGTGATGATGTTGCAGATCTGTGTCTCTCCTTGCATCTCCCCCCCTCGCTGAAGCGCGCGAAAGCAGGGGATGAAACTGCAAGACTGAGAGAGAGGGCACCAAAACCCAGACCCCTCCACCCTGTCCCTCTCCTCTTTCCAGCTCATATGTATGTAGTATTTCCTTATTAAATGAGTAACCGAAGATCAGAAATAGTCAGTGGTAATACAGTTATAAAAGAATAAGAAAATATGATGATTATTGAGAAAAAGACAACACTTAATCATTCTTGGTCTCATATTTTTGTAAAGCAGAATTTGCATGTTAAATTTTAATTCTGTTCTGGAATGGAAGCAGAGAGACGTCTGTGTGTGCTGTGAAAGGATGCAGGTTGTGATGAGAGAGGGATGTCTAGGTAGAGAGAGAGCACAGTGAAAGGCCTGAGATAAAAGGCCTTAAGTCACATCTTCAAACAAGTTCACAGCTTGCCGTTCCAGGTGTAGTTCTTTGGTTCCATCTCTTCTCATGCACACACGCTATGCTCATCTTTTATGGTTTTCTAATTCATTAGTTGTGCACTGCTCAGAGTAGACACTTCAACGACAAAAACACTGCAGAGATTGCACATTGGAAGGAGTGTTAGAAAGTTAGCTGGACATTTGTTTTAAGTAGTTTAATAGATTCAATCTTTGGAATAACCATAAATATGTAACAGTGTGTACTAAAGCAGTCCTGCAGATCTTATTGTATCCTGCATCTGTTTAGTAAATTGATCAAGTCAGCGATTTAAAAAAAACATCACAGGACAAAAAGAATCATTGGATCATAACCTACTATTAACTGCAAATGGTCTCCAGGCGCTCCATCCCGTGTGCATTTGGTTGGAACTGTCAAAGATGAGAATATCTTTGTATTAAGTACAGATGGGTAAGTTTTTATTAAGTGTGGACTCCCGAAGTGTGGAACATAACGCCCGCAGAGTGAACAAGACATGCAGCATGTTTCACACCAACATTCAGTGACTTCTGTAACCCTTCATTATCCACGTGTGGACTTGTTTCTTTCATCGTACTGATCTGTCTGACTTCAAGTTAATTTTAAAATTATATTTAATAAATATCTGGTTCTTATTGTCCACTTGCTTCATTCTCTCTCTTTTTATTTCATTAACAACAAAGATTTCTTCAACAGTTTTTATTTATTTAAATTCAGCCTTCAAGTCACATTTATACAAGATTCAACAAAAGAAGAAGATCAACTTTATTAATCCCATGAGGGGAAATTCAATTTTACACTGATATTGAGACATGCTACACACACATGCACAAACAGGATCCTATGGACATGCACTAATGGAGAGATGGCGGAGTGACAGCGAGCGCTCCTGAGTTGGTGGTGGGGGTTTGGTGCCTTGCTCATTGGCACCTTGGCAGTGCTGAGGAAGTAAACGGTCACCTCTCCAGCTACCAGACCAATTTTCAAATTTGGTGCGCACTGGGACTTGAACCGCGACCCTCCGGTTCCCAACCCAAGTCCCTACAGACTGAACTTCAAAAGGGTTTTAACTGTCTTCATCATCAGGTTAAAGGCAAAAATATGACGTATGTATAAATTATAATGAAATGTTCTTTATCATATGGCTTGTTAATGTGCATGACTGTTTGACAAATCTTCAAAAACTTGAAGCAGTTTCTTTAAAGTTTTCTAAATATGAGGCATTTGAAATAATCTTCCATTTCAACTGTAAAAGAAGAAAACACACATGTAGAAGTGCTCTATTGTTGTAATTAAGAAATCAATGCTACACTCTGTGACTCACTATCCTCTCCATACGCATCCCGTTCCCATAGGCCATCTGTCTCAGCACATCGATATCTGGAAGACCCCACTCTGGATTCCTGCATAAACATTTCATGCACCACTTTATTCACACTGTGACAGCAGAGCATCACCAGAAACATTTCAGTCATTCTCTTCTCGCTATATAATATATTACAAAGACAAAACTCTTCTCACATCTTTCGAAGCTCTTCATCCAGCTGTTCATTACAACTCGGGGTGATGGTTCCATTGATAGCATACACCTGGGGCGTGTTTAAGAAAAGGAAATGCTTAAATTCATGTTTTTCACCTCTAAAATAAACAAAGCTGTTGGTACGTACCCCGTATGTTATCAAAAGACCATTCTGCCTCATGATCTGACCTGCTCCGTTGAAAACACCCTGGGAGAGTTCATTTTTAAGAAGAAGTATATGAAACAGAAACAAGCACAGTTATACATTTTTGAAAAAACAGTGCAACTATTGGAGTATCTAGACATTTTTTTATAGATAAGCAGACCAACCTGTGCTGTTTTGAAGGAGCTGTACTGCAGTAAGTTTATGGCCACCACTACATCACAGGAGTTGCGAGGAAGGCCTGCCCATTTCTCCCAAGGTTCACTGGCATCCAGGTGAACGGGCTGCAGCACAGTCTTCACATGAGTTGCCGCAATGTATGCTTTAATGCTGTAAGAAAATATTCAGTTCATTCATTTGACATTTATATTTCATTATCAGTCCCTCACTGCTGTTTCATATCCATAACTGAAATATGTACACCTTACTGTGACTACTGTATAACCATTCATTTTGATCTTTAATAGGTCGTTGTGACTGATTTTTTAGATTGATCAACTATTAGAAGTCTTTCTTTTTTAAGAAACCTGTCTCGACACTCTTCTTTGATGTCTGATGGTTGCCAGGTAACAAAAGGCATTTTCTGGGCAAAGCGTATGACGTGCTGTCCTGTTCCAGAGCCCAGCTCCACGGCAAACAGCTGCCTGTGGGACTGGTCCTCCAGCACATCTTCAAGCACTGAACACAAACCCTCCCAGTTCCTCTCTGCCTGAGGAGACAGCAGCATGGTCTGGGGGAGAAAAAAAAAGCCGAATGACTTACAATCTTGTCATGTTGTATGGCCAAGTCTGTGCATTGATCTTACCTTCACTTGTGATGGTTGACAGCAACAGGTCGGTAAAAAGCATATTGGAAGTGTTGGATGACTACAACAGCAGATGGGTGCTGAGATTACTTTGGTTAAGAGGATTCCCTCTGTGCTCCTCCCCAGTGTTCAGCTCAGGCTCCGTCCAGGTAGGTGAACAAACAAGAATAGAAAACAAAGTGAACAGAACAAAACTCCATTAATGTAACACATTTGTGTTTATATACCTGGTTACACACTGTACAATGTTGTGACAACAAATTTCCCCCTGGGGGACAAAATATTGTATTATAGCAGCTATTTAATTCATTAATCTATTTACCATTGTTACTAAGACACTTCTAAAGTAGCACTGTTCAAACAAATCAAATACCATTTAATTTATTTCCAAATTATTCACAAAATGAAAATACACAACCACAATAAAAAAATGACACAAAAAACAAGCTATAAATAATAATATTGTTTAAACATTACACAAAAAATGTTTTCGTAAAATATAAAATAAAAAAGATGAAATACATCATTATGAACGGTATAACGAGTAAATAAAAATCAATATGATAATATTTAAAATCTTTTTTTTTATTTCAAGCCTGAGGCACAAAGTGCTTCCCATAGACAACATACGCAAGACAACCAATAAAGGAAATAAAAGCAGTTACCGCAAAAACACAAAAAATTAAGAGATTAAAAGAAAGATAATAAAAACATGACAAAAGCTTAATTATATGATTGTTTATTATAATTGTTATTATTAGTTAACAGATAAAAAGGTAAATGTGGTAAATTCATAAACAGCGAATGATTGTTACAAACATTGTTACTAAAACCAAACAATTATTGTGTATTTTTAAACATGAACGTAACAATTACAGCATCATCATAATGTTTGTAATTGCTATAGTATCTGTGAATTTAGGCCCTTATTTGATCGATTTGATGAGTGAATACTGCCCTCTTGTGGCCACAGTGGATAACAGAAAATAAACGATTTGTAAATTATTTGCCAAAACAAACCCTGAATCTTGTTAAATGACTTTAGTTATCTAAATGAAGTGGGGGATAATCTTAGACTATCAAGAGGAAAATCCATCAAAAGGTAATTCGTGTAAAACGGGCAGCCGATTTAGTACATTACATCCGTTATACATCTAATGAAATTACTGATATATTTAATTAATACCTGTTATGGTCTGTGACTAATACATTTGTTTGCCCTGCTGGTTTTATTTTTACACTTATATTCATAAAAACGAACTTTTAGAACGTTCGTGTTTTACATTTCGTTATCACATGTATTTTGTCCCATATTGGCTCCCGTAGTTCTACACACAGTTCACGCATTGCCTTGTGGGTAGGTCAGAAGCCGAGAGGACGCCATGTGCTTTTGAGGCAGAGGATTTGGAAGGGGACTTGGCTGTCATAAACTTGGACTCTTTTTTTTAGGGGGACACCGGGATAAAAAGGCTCCAGTAAGCATGTACTGCACCAGTCACTGCCTCCGGACCGCGCTGCGGGCTGCAGCGACCACTCACCGGTACGTAATGACGTAATGATGGACCGAGCTGCAGCAGTCAGTCATGTAACACCGGGGCGCTCACTTAACGGTACATTGGGGGTTTGACTGCCCGCTTCCTCAAGGACAGACAGGCGGCCAGTCACTTTAGGGGGGGGGGGTCTGTTGTTACTTTATCTTTATATAAATAAAGAAGAGTTCCTGTCAGAGAAGCTTCAGGGTTGTTAGCAGTGTTTGAATGAACTTGGCTTACCTTAGCTAGCGTGGTTACTTAGTAATAGCCGGTAGTAATTCAACCTTTATTGTCTTTGATTGAACAGCGTTACTATTTGATCCCTGTAATAAACAATGTGTCCCAGTTTCAGGTTGAGATTGTACTCAGAGTTACAGATGTAGGAGATGTTTGCCTTCTTCTTTACAGAGCAGCTCTGTCCATGTCAGCCAAGGTCGAATTTGTGTTCCTGAATATTCAGGGTGTTGCTGCTTGAACATCCAGCAGCTACATCTCTTAATGTGTTAGAATAAGGGCAAGCCTCAGCAACTACAGTATACAGCAAAGAACTTGCAATAGAAACAGTAATAGTGTCCACAACATTAATCCCACACATGTCGCTGCCATCCTGGTGTTTAGGTAGCCCTCACCCCCAAAGGGTCAGAGGTCATAAATAAAGGGTTCTTAAAGGTTAGAAAGATATCCGATTAAAGTTTGCTTCTGTATACTTCCCTCTTAGTTTCACATCTTGAGGATGTCGCCTTGGATTTGATCAGTTGGTTTTCTATATGAAATCAACGGACAGCTTTCTCTAATTCCTGAGAAACCTGCAACCAGCTTTTCCACCAGTCTAAAGAACTTCAAGTTATACATGATGAAAGACACAGAAAGAAACAAATCCTCCTTAGGTCTCTGATTGCATTCATCATAGTCATTTAAAGGATTTACACTGCCTAAAATCCAACTTGTTCATCTTTACTTTCATGTGTGGCATTAAAAGAGTTGCACTGTATTTGTTGTGTTTATACTTGTGAAAGAAAAGGCCGTGGTAATGGTAAAATGTCTTCCATAGCCAGGGGCATGAATGAGCTGTAACGGACAAAATACGTCCATCTTCTGTATGTGTGTCTATATTTATTTGGCTTATCTATTTCCATACTTTCTAGGCAACATCTTCAGCGGCAGGCACCAGCCTTGTGTGCTTTACGACACCTGAAGACCAGTCCAGCCACCCACTCAGATGCCATCGCCACCCCTCAGCTGGACGGAGCACCCAAACAGTATTCTCCTAAAATCCAGCAGCTCGTCAGTGACATAGCCAGCCTCACTTTGTTAGAGGTATCAGATCTCAATGAGCTCCTCAAGGTTAGTGCCAAACTTGCTGGAAAAGCTGAATCTGAACCTCAGTATGCCGTGTCAGAAAGAGACTCGTGATCAATCTGTTCATCCTGTTTTTTTTTTTTGTTTTCTGCAGAAAACTCTGAACATTCAGGATGTTGGAATGATGCCGATGGCAGCAGCAGGCGGACCTGCAGCGGCACAGGTGATCTTTTTTTTTTATAGATAAAGCGCAGGGGTCATTCAAATTTAAATTTAACATAACACTGCTTTAACAGGGTCTACATGTTTATCACTGCATGTTGCACTTACCTATTCTCTTTTTCTGTGTGTGAAACCAGGCCACAGAAGAGGATGATGTACCCGTCAAGAAAGAGAAGACTCACTTCATAGTAAAACTGACAGAGTTGAAGGCTGCTGAAAAAGTCAAGCTTATCAAGGAAGTGAAGAACTGCATCCAAGGCCTAAATCTGGTTCAGGTAAGTTTCAACCAAAGGGATCTCCAGAAGGTACCATGCTGAGTGTACACTAATGAACAGTCATTGTGGGTAATCAGACAAGAAATAAATAAAGTAGGAACACAGGAAACGAAGAGGAAAGACATGGGATTTAAAAAACGATTTAACAATACTGACTATTCAAAGTTCTGTTTAGAAACATTAATGTAGCAGGATCTGTGTTTATCACGATCAGGACACCTTAAATAACTTTTACTTTCTGGTCATAGAGCTTTAAAGCGATGGAAATAATAATAATAACAGTGTTACACAGCTGTCCTTCAGTGGTCTTAGACTTTAGGGGGCCCTTTGGTGTTTGGTGGCAACTATGTTTATTAATTCATCAGAGTCTGGTTTTCTGACTGACTTTCTGGAGCACATCATGTAACAAGAAATGTTAGTCCACCAGGTGGGCCGCCCAGGTACATCAACAACTCACTGAGTATATTTTCCAACCGTTTTTGAATGATTTTTTAATCCATATGCAATAGCCATCTAAGATGATAAACTATTGGACAGTCTCCCTCGCTCTCTGCCAATTGAGTTTGTGGTGTGATTAGTGTCTGGATGCTCTGCACATGATCAGAGAGAGCGAGAGCAATGTTTGTTCCTCGTTGGATTCAAAGGTGGAGGTGCGATGTCAACTGTTACATCTGAACCTTTGCTGTAGTTGTTTTAATCGTTAATTAGTGTAGCTGGTTGCTACCAATGTTTTTCAATGTAAACATGTAGACTATAAGATTAGACTAATAAATAAGAATAAACAAACCAAAAAATATATATATATTTATATTCTGAAAACAACCAGCAAATAGATCAATTAATGGAAATATTGTCTGGTGACAACTCTAAATCAAATTTTTGCATGCCTTCTTAACATCTGACTGTTGTTTTTTAAGAATCAAAATGTTAATTTGATTGTATTGCTTTATAGTTCAGTACATGAAACAGAGTTTGAAATGTCCACTGTTTTCTTAAGAGCAGAACTTTGTCTAAGAACTGACATGCTGTCTCTGGAGGCTTGTAAAGACCACTATAAAATACTGTTTCCTTATACATTTGTATTTGACCCATTTCTGTACCAGTCATATCTCACTTAATGAATTCGTCTCTGTCCTTAAACATCCAGGCCAAGAAACTAGTGGAGTCCCTTCCCCAGGAAATCCGAGCCAACGTGTCCAAAGAAGAGGCAGAGAAACTCAAAGCAGCTCTGGAGGCAGCAGGCGGCACCGTGGTGTTGGAGTAGATCTGAGGTTCTCCACCGTTTTGCTGCTCCTGCACTTCATTCTTCATTCTATTATTTCCTCTTTTTTTTTTTACATGGCAAAGAGAAGGATCATGGGAAACAAAGAAATGCCTTCTGACATTAATACTGTCTTCTAACAGTGTCAGGCGGGGCGGCACGACTCAGACTGAACTTTCCAGGCATGCAGCCTGCACAACAGTGGCCGCCCCAGTGTTTGCTCGCCCATTTGTCAGCTCATGATTCCGTCTGATACTGGTGTAGCAAAGGAGCTACAGAAACACTGGCCTGGGTGCCACGTATGTCTGTTGGTCATTCTGTGTGTGTGTGTGTATGTTCAACTTTTCAAAGAATGGAAGATTATGCTTCAGGGTATCGTTCCCTGTGTTATAAAACACCAGATACTGTAGTTCAGGGGACGGCAGGGCTGAGTCCTTGTGTTGCTCATAGACTTGTTGATAATGTGATTAAAGATGACACATCCATAACTTCCCCTGCTTTCTTGTATTCTTGTTATTATAACTTGTTTTTAAGTAGAGTAGTATTATCTTAAACACTCCAAGCAGCACAATAACTGAAACTATATTCTAACTTTTCAAATAATGGTCCACGGTCTTCAGCTTGTAGAGCACTTTTCTAGTCTTCTGACTACTCAAAGCGCTTTCACACAGCAGTCACACATACACATTCACACACTGATGGTAGAGGTTGCTATGTAAAGTGTCCATCAGAAGTAACTGATCCATTCACACATTTGTACGCTGCTGAAAAAGCGGAGACTCTGGTTTAAGTGTCTTACCAAAGGATGCTTCGTACATGTAGTTGCAGGAGCTGGAGATCAATCTTCCAGGAGAGAAAGACAGCATCTACCAACTGAGCCGCAGACGCCCCCAGAAGTCAGTATTTGAACCTCCAGTAGACTTCAGCTTGTTATTCTAATGCTGACCACTAGTGGTAGTAAGAGCTTTTCTAATCGCCTCAAACAGAACTAGAGCGGTTTTTGGAATATCATCTGGTTTCTGCAACTACTTCATCACGTCTGAATGATGCTGAAATAATTTGGACATGAACTAAAAAGTTAAAGGTGTCCTCAAAGATGGTAAGCATACATTTGGATGATAAAAGCAAGAGAAAACTAAACATGACTAAACTTTTTATAATAATGTATTTTTTTATTCAGTAAATTCCTATTTTATTTACTTATTTTTACCTTCTATACTTTACAAATGTGCGTGCAAATAAGGAAGCTCCTAAAGTGAAGAGGAGAGAGTATATACACTGAACAAACACTAGAGGGAGTCTTAAGCCCTAAAAAGCAAAGGGTAAGCGCAAAGGTAAAACACACACACTACATTCATTCTGTTAAAGAGTCTGGGATGTCATGACAGTATCCAGGACCCTGAAACTGATACGGCTAAATAAAATCCAACAATCATTCAATTTATAATGTCCAGCTGTGCTTTTACAGATATGACAGGTCCAGATGTCTTGTCTGAGATAGAAGTTCTCCTGTGTATTGAAACTTTACAAGAAATCAGAGAAGAGAAAGAGCAGAGACGGGTGAGGATGAAGTATAGGAGGAAGCGTACGACTTATTTGACTACAAAGAGTATAACTGTATCATTAACCACTTATCAAACACCCCCCCCCCAGTGGAAAAACTCAATAGTATCCAGTCCTGGTGAGAAATAATGACCTAGGAGGAAAATGTGTTGGAAAGAGAACCCTGCTGTGTTAGTGATGATGGCTTCAGTTTGATTTGTAGTGTTGAGACAGTGACTTGAATCGCTGCAGGAAGGCAGCACTTCACAAATCAAAGCCAATCACTCTAATAAAATAAAAATAACAGACAGACAAATCGAAATGAAAGTAAAACTAGATTCAACCTGTGCATAAGTATGGAGAAACATGTCAAGGTGTAAAGAGACAAATATTAAAGGACTAGATTATGGAATGTGTGGCAAGATAAAGCAATTGCAATGAAAATTATTTATTATATTACATTGCTTTTTTCTGTACTGTGTTGTCTTGCTATGACGCAGACGGACCCCTGATTCAGGGCTACCACTGTGCCATTACACGTGTCTGCATGTGTTGGATCCTGCAGCAGCGAGTGTTCGCTCTCCTGTCTTGCATTTTCTCTGACTTGGAGTGGGTGTCCAGTTACTGTTTCTGTCATTTGTCATTGCCCTCCCACTCCCCTTCCAAAACTCCCTCTCTGACTCAGCAAACACAGAGCAGTGCCAGGCTGCCCATTCATACGGCTGCTGCACTGCTCATTAAAAACCATGTCATGCTTAAGAACCAAAAAGTTGACTAGTATTGAGAGCCGTACAGGAAACATGAAGTGAACTCTCATTAAAACAGCTGCTGAATGTTCCTGAGAAGGCATGCATTGTGTGTTTATTTTCACCCTTGAGTACACGAGAAGGCAGTGTCTATTCTTGACAAATATTTGTTTGAACTTCATGACCTTTGAGGTGTGCAGGTGGAATCTTTGGATGCATAGATACAGCATTCACAGAACTACAGCAGCAGTCAAGCTCGCTTACTATTTTTATATTGGTCACGTACGCTTCTTCTCTCAAACCAGCTGCACCCCAGTTCTTGGCACAGACTGATGGAGCTGGTATACGAAGGCTCGCCACCTAGTTTAGCCACATGTTAAGCTAAAATGTCCAGCTCTACATTACAAGAGTCACATTAAGGACAGTGCACTTTATTTTAGGCTATAGTGCATTTAAAATGAACAGCTTCAAACCATGGCCAGAAGTGAACAGGGAGATGGATGAAGACAGCACTAAGTTGTTCCAGCGACCCTTCACAAACCGACTCCTTGCCTTTTTCTTTTGGACTTTGTCTCACTGACAACATGCAGGAGAACCGCATTTCTCGTTGGTATTTTGGTGGAATCTCCTCAAGTGTGGCTGCCTGTTTAACACACCCTCTGGATTTGATTAAGGTAAATAATGAAGCTAACTGTGTTTTAATTCAAGATTACTGACAAGTAGCACACTTTCTTTTAATAATATTGGGGGAAATGACTGTTGTAGGCCTCATTCATCTGTCTGTGTTTTTAAATGTTAATAACATTTTTACTCTTTTATTGCCCTTTCTTTTCTTGTTGACACTCACTTTGGTAATAGCTTACAACCTTATAACCTTGATTATAGCAGTCAGTTGGCTTGTTTTGATTCTTTAAGGTGCGTGTAATGATGATAGAAACATCCTTATGTTGCTTTTTTTATTTCCTACAGCTATTATCTAGCTTTTGAATTGATTTTCTTCAATTTAGCACTCTCATGTTTATGGTGATATTTAGAAGTGACATTACCACTCTGGTTGAATTCAACCTTAAAAGTGCTATGTGAAGAAACTGATATATTACTATAATTGGATTGTTTTGATAATTTACAAGATTGTGCTTTTAAGAATAAGTAAGACCTTCAGGATTTTACTCTGTTGGCTGCATGCTGAACATGTAAGGTTGCTAAAGAGCAAAGAGTACAAATGCTTGCATTATACAGCTTTAAGTTACTAATTCTAATGAATAATACTAGAGGGGGTTGTAGACAGGCTAGGGACATATTAGGGTTCAAAAAACATGGTAAAGTGTATTTTACATAAAATGTGACCTTTAAGTGTTTAAGTGTTGTTCATGTGTTCTCGTAGTCTTACAAGAGATTGTCTTACATTCCAAGAAAGCTAGAAAAACAACTGTCTTAAAGTCTGTTAGCATTATCCCAAATATAAAAGCTAAACCCGGCCTGATTTAAATTTTAAGATAAGTGTGCATTTCTGCATGAAAACTGATTGACAAAGACACACTTCAATTACTCTTTTATTGTTCAATGATTTTAAAGTCCCCATAAAATTTAAGCTACACTTGTCTGGTTTGAATCCAGATTTCCTGTGATAAATTATCCTTTATCTGCCATTATGTGTCAAATATATTTTTAAAAAGCATTATCTGACCATGTTTACATCAAATTATATTGTAGATGTTTGGAGATGACGCATCCTGCACTAAGGGGCGTTTACTAATTTTTTGACCAATTAAAAACCGACCTTTGTCAAGGTTAAAAGTCCATTCGAATTCATCCCAACGTTATGTCCCGCCTTCTGTTTTGTGATTGGTTCTATGCTGTTTCAGTTGATAATACGTCACTACACGGCAGTTAGATGCTCTCGAAGTTCCATTTAATGGGATTGTAAGGCTGCCACTGTGCCATGACTTCTCTCATGATTTTCCAAAAACTTGTACCCTTTAGGATTACATTATCAAACAGCAAACATCTCCATAGATTGGGCTGTCTGTATTCAGCTATCATGTCGAAGGCTTTTTTTTTTTCTTTGAACACAAACTGAGCTCCCTGTAAGCCTAACCAAGTTTTGGGGCCTATTTGAGTGAAGGAGAGTATCATTAATCACAGGATCCATTGTGTTGCACAGCTAGATCCCAAAAGAGACTAACCAAACTCTGGGCCCTTTTTCAATAGTTTTGCTGCAAACACTTGTCAGGGTTAGGGGACCTTTTCGTCTGCATTTTCACCATTACTTTTTTTTCTTTTCTTGAGAACACAGGCCCCTGATCAGAACAAGAGAAATTGCTTTAGATGTTTGCCTTCTCTAACTTTACACATGTGCAGGTGGCTCCTGCCCCCATTTAAAGTGTGACTGACATTCCTCCCTCGCTGCCTCCATGTGGTCTTTTGTAGGTGCACTTACAGACGCAGCAGGAGGTGAGGCTGAGGATGATTGGGATGACCGTGAACGTGGTGAGGAGAGAAGGTGTTCTGGCTCTTTACAGTGGCCTCAGCGCGTCGCTCTGTCGGCAGGTGGATATTTTCAAACACATGTTGAATCAACTGGCTGTTCATCTCCCTGCTGCTCCGCCTAACATTAACAGCTTTCTTGTTTTTCCTGCAGATGACGTATTCTTTGGCAAGGTTTGGTATTTATGAGACTGTCAGAGACCAGATGAACAAAGACAACAAAGGTCTCATGCCTTTCTACCAGAAAGTCCTGCTTGGTGCCTTTGGGGGTAAATGCATCGTTACAAATCTCAACAGTTTTGGCATAAGGCTATTTTAAATGATTTGATTTGAGTTTTTTTTAAACCCTTTCTTCACCAGGGTTTGTTGGTGGTTTCATTGGGACACCAGCTGACCTGGTGAACGTCAGGTGAATCAACATGATTTTTATGACACCTAACTCAACTGTACTTCATATTATTAGGTTGAAGCCACTGCCTGCATTTTCACCATTACTTTTGCACTGGTTCACAAAATATTGAAATCTACCATTAAATAGAAACAACCCTGACGCACACAAACAATAAATAAATCAACACGACAGCTGTTTCGCTTCTAAGAAAGTAATCCCCTCACTTTCAAAATATTCTTTTAGAATCAGTTTTTAGTGCAAAGTAAGTTCATGTTGTTTGGTGTAAAAAAATAGGCACATAAATATAACAAAAACAGTGAGAGGCT